TGCTCTCTCGTACAACCAAGTACTAAAACTCAAAGATACCCTAGCTGATTTTTAAGTATTGGTTTGTAGGGATTTTGACTGAATGGTTACAGGACCCGATCCAATTGCCACTGGCTCATGAATTCCAACTTCTCCCATGTCAAGACATAGCGTGACCGCTAACCAATGTCTTCGGCGAGTACTTGTCCTCACAACCAACCTCTTGCACCCTACTGCTCACAACGTCCCACTAGAACCCAAGGTAACCACCTACTTGAATAAGGCCACTCGCTAGTGAGCATCTCATTGATTTTTAAGTACTGGTTTGTGGGGATTAAGATTGATTGGTTACAGGATTTCATCATGAGCTGACATCGGTTAGAGATACTCTATTTGGCACACCCGCCCGCGTTCTATGTGATACAGATAGTGTTAGACGTGAAACTTACGGCTTACTGTGTAGTTAGCATAAAACGTGGCTCAGTTATTCTCCCATATTTGTAATTTGATGGTGATGCTCCCTATCCCCATTATCTTATGATATTAATACTAATATTGTTATTGTTCTTATCATTTTACATTTGTACAGCATTCGTGGCCCTGCTGTTTCTGTTAATGCCTCAAGTTGACGCTATCAGTTTTGATTAAGTGCATCTTGTAATGTCTTTTTTTCTATTTTTGGTGTTGTTGTCGAGTGAATTAGATGCAATATTGTACAAAATGCTGAAAATTTCACATTGTATCGGAAGTACTGTTTTGGAATAAAGTAAAATTGCTATTATTATTATTATTATTATTATTATTACTTCATGAAATTCATCCAATGCATTGAAGAGTAAACACTAAACCAGTAATTCAAAATGCACAAAGTTCCACACCTCACAGCATTTCCAACAGACATGCCATTGCATCAATACATAACCCTTTTCTCCGCCTTATCTTCTGTGTTAGGTGTGGTGTTGCAACGACAGAAGACGGGCCAGGCAACAGATCGTTTATTAGGGAAAATCAATAGATATTTACATATTTTTATGTACATTATTATAGGTTACTGTAAGCAGAGAAACAGCGTCTTCTGATTGGTTATTCTCTCACTGAAAGTTAATCTGTCATCTCTATGTGGCTGTTTCTTTGAAGGTTAGACCATATATCTGCGAATCGTATCCGCCCACGCTAAGACTTTGTTCTTGTTTTTCTCATGACCAAAATTTGGGACGTAAATTGCTGTCTACCAATTTTGGCTAGCAGACAGCTCTCACCACAGTATAATAGGGTGAATAATATTGAGGTTAGGCCTCGATCGAGTGCTAGGTAAGGAGGGAAATACTCAACCGATGAACTACATTGATTGGGATGGTCAGGACATGCCTAGCCATCGATCGTCCTCCTCGACGGAGAATGTAAGCTGACATGGAACCAAGTTAGAAAAGAGATAGCTAGTGGTGGTCAATCCAAAACATGTTTTCACCAGTCAATGGAATCCATAATAGTTAGTTTGATCTATGTGGAGAAGTATAGACCTGTCTGACTGGTTGAGGTCCTCAGAATGATAAAAACCTATGGCTAGAGACAATTCGTGATATGGCTAGCGCAAATGCATTCACTCTATGTAACCTGCTTTATCCAAGAAAACCCTATTGTCTTTCTGTTTCGATTCTTCCTTCCTCACATTTCTGTTTATAATCATTCTTCAGAATCTGTTTTTATAACTTTTGGTCTTCCGTTGTATGCTTTATGGAGGTGTGGCAAATTGAACTGGTTTACTTCTGTGCAAAGATCTGTGTGTTGTAACCAGTCAGTCAGTCAAACTTAAACTTATTGCTCAAGATACTGAAGATGAGGATAGGCACTAAGGGACTCAATCTAGCAGCGAACCAGACAACAACAACCACCTCTCTCTAGAGCATTTTGTTCCCCTCAAAACCCAAAGAACGAACCCTGACAAAATAATAAAAATACCTATTCATGATTTCAGGCAATGTCATCGGTAGCGAGTATTTCTCCTCACTCCCAACCGAGTGGTGGTGAACCTCCACACAACTCCCTCCTGTAGCCAGTCACTCATTCACTCACTTAGGAGCATCACATCAGATCATGGGACAATGAGTCGGAGGTCACAGTGGTTGGCTGACTGGTCTACGAGTTTTGGCAATTTATTAGGCACCCGGTAGATGGTGCAAACCGGCCACAAAGCCAGTGTTGAAGAATCCTTCTCTATAATCTACCGGGTGCCTAATAAATTGCCAAAATCATTGAAGCACCGCATGTTCCAAACAGCAGAGGCTATTGCAATTCGCCTCAAACAACCAGTGCTCTGTGGTCAAAAGAAGCAAGTCCAGCCCCTACTACTGCCCTGGCCCTCAGTAGAAACTACAAGCTCATGAATTTGTACTATTCTCTTTAATAATTCTTCTGACATTCAGCTTATTTTATGGTGATGCTGTTGAACTGTAATCCATTGATATTCTTATGATTGATTCGATGTTATTTAAACAACAGTAATGTTGCTCATAACACTAATTCATATTTTCCTGGCAAAGCTTGAAAACGGTCCACTTAAAGACACGATTAAAGGGTTTGACTATTATTGTCGATACGAAGATGATACCTTTATCGTTTGTGATATAAATCTCAATAAACAAGAGCTTCTCAATGCTGCTAATAGTGTTCACCCAACTATTCAGTTTACATGTGAAGAAGAAGACAATAACAGTTTACCTTCCCTAGACGTCCTCCTTGCCATGAAGACAGACGGGTATCTACAAAGGAAACTATTTAGAAAGAAAACTTGGACGGGTCAGTACACCCATTTCCATAGCTTCGCACCTAATCAGTACAAAAGAAACTTAGTTAAGTGTCTAAGCTATAGAATAAAACGTATATGTTCAGAAGAATGCATTAAGGAAGAAATGCATAAACTGAAACTCACACTACAAGAAAATGGATATCCACAGAGCTTCCTAAAAAAGTATATGTCAATACCTGCAGACAAAGTAAAGGTGGATACAGTAGAAAAGAAACCTTTGTATCTTAAGTTACAATGGGGAAATTGCAGCTGACATTCTAAAATGTCGACTTAATAGAGCAGTAGATAGAACATTTCCTGCGGCTAAACTGGTACTCAACTTCTCAACTAAACCAGTACTCACACAGCAAGTAAAGGATAAATTACCCATCAATGTGCATTTATGAATTCAATTGCTCATGTGGAGCTAGTTACATTGGCCGTACTCAGAAGGCTTTATCCATGCGCGCGCGTGAACATGTACCTGTATGGTTGAGTAAAGGAGTAAACAAATGCGTAAATACTGCAGTCTTAGCTCACTTGGTAGATACTGGACACTCGATAAGACTTGACCAGGCGCTCTCAATTATTTACTGCGTTCCTAGTAATTTATCTAAGCGAGCTCGACTACGTCTTCTACCAGTAGCTGAAGCAGTTGCAAATAATACCAGAAGACCATCTCTTTGCATACAGAAGAAGTATGTTCAACCTCTATGTTTACCTTGGCCTACAATAAAGCCAACAAATCCTCCATTAACACTATAAATTCCTTTCACAATTTTCTTTTCTTTTCCTCTTCTTCTATTCCTCTGTTTCACTGACAATCGTTCATTTTCGACTTTTATGATTTCATGACCTTTCTTATGATTTTATTACCTTAGGTTTAAGTAGTGCTTTACTAACTTGCCATCGTATTTACAAAATCCTGTTCATTCCACTTCATTATTATTATTTGACAATCATTCACCAGTAGTGCTTGTAATTTTACACCATATCATCGTTATTATTTTACAATCATTCTTACTGTCGTTATTTTCAACCTTGAACTTAAGTCTAGTCTGCCCCATTCGTTGGTTTATTTTCATATTGTCTCACACACCCTGATTACACTCACACTCGAAACCTGTATTTTCTGTTAACTATATTTATATATATACACACACATCATTAGATTAAATTATTTCATCTCATTTTATCTCATGTTCTCATTGACCATGCATATTAAAAAACTATCTGACTATTGTTCCATCCCATCTGACTTATACTTGTTCCACAATACACTTTCTGATATGATTCTAATTTGCCTTTACTGGCTGGCTATTGTATGCTTAAATTAATTAATGGATTTATAATTGTAGAGACTGAAGAAGAAGAATTTATTGAAACCACAATTGTTCACTCTAAATATTTTGTTCTGAACTAATTCATTCATTCACTATAATGTATATATAACTGTAGAGCCTCATGTTGAATTAATCGAAAAGAGTATTCTTTCTTCAATATCTATTCTTTTGAAAAATTAAATTCCTACAGACTAACTCAATCCTTGGCACCTGCCAACAACAGTCCTACTCTTGAGATAAACAACAGGAAAAAGTCAGCGTGAGAAAGCCGAAGTTGACGCTACACAACACACACAGAGGGAACACAACCATTTCACATAACTGTTTCCCCACCCCACACACATTCACACGACAGCTGATATGGCGAGAGAAAAAAAAAGTCAGACAAAAAGGAAAAAAATATTTTCTTTGCATTTTAATTTCTTTTTTTTCAAAAAAGTAAAAGAACTTTAATTCAAATGAAAACTTTTTAAAAAAATAACTTTTTTTTCCATAGATATTGTTTGTAGAAGCGTGTGTCCATGAGTGCGGGTGTGCGCGCACGCGCGAACGCAGCAACTGAACTTCATTCAATACAGACGAGTCCCGTAAACCCACCCACTCATACACACAAACACAGAGGGAAAATATAAAGGATAAACAACAATAATAATTAAAGATTTTCAGATTTTTTATATCTGAACAATAATACTGATTATCATTATTATTATTATCACCATTATGAACCATTAAGGTATTCTTAACCCATTCATCGAAGGAAAATACACAAAGAAATTCTATACAACAATTGTGGGAATAGTATTGGTAGTAGTAGTAGGAGTAATAGTGTACATTAAATGAATTTGGGACCCCACACCACGCCACTGCGTCGTTGACCCACCCACCTCCTGGCAATCACAAAGTGACAATCATCCTTTACATGGCACACATTTTATCTGCTAGTGGTCCAACCCACAGGAAGAAGAAAATCATACACCAGGGAAGAAAAAATTAACACAAGGGGAAAAACTAGGGAAAAGGAAATATTAACATTGATTTATTCCCCGTTAGGCCGGGGCAAGGGGGGGGGCAAGGACAGCTGTTCTTGTCTCTTGAACAACAATATGTATATTTATTTATTTATTTGTCTATTTTACAATATTTTAACCGGAATCTGATACAGTTGTCAGCGCTGTTGCAGCTGTTGTTGTTGCTGTTGTCTGGGACTGGGGGACAACACATGATTGCATTTGATGATTGTCGTCATCTACGACCATCACCGGCATTGGTTGGAATTCTTCAGAGTCATTGAAACTATCATTTCGTTCAAAGACACTACGTTCATCATCAAGCGGTGTTAATTGACCACTGGCATCACCTCCACCAGTAGCACTGGCATCATCGTCAACTGGTCCTAAGTTGGCTGTCTGTTCAACATCATCCCAACACAGGTTGGGCAGGATACTTTGATTTGAATATAACCATGGTTTCTGATCTGGATTATTTGATTGTTTCCATGCATCATATTTACTGCATGCTTTATATAATAGCTGGATTGCTTTAGGCGCCATAAATTGTGTTGCCTTATTGATAACCCAGATTGGTATTTTACCTAGCAGAAATGGATGATGAAATAGGAGACATATATGCGCATTATATTGTGTGAATGAAATATTCCCATATTGAGTCATAAGAAAAAGAAAAAAAGAAGACGTAAACAGTGAAGAAAATTTTCCCTTAGACAATTCATTTTCATAAGCTGCTGTACAATTATAATTATAGAAATCCCTGCATGCCAACAAATGAATATTAATCTGTTACTCACTGTCTGTCTCTCTGTTTTCGACATAGAACTTTGCACCGATGTGCAGCAGTTCAAGTCGCCACACTCCATGTAGCACACAAAGCAAGAGAAGAAAGTAGGGGAAATGCATAATATAGACAGTAAACAGAGGTGTGAGACAAAGGTATAGTAATGACGAATAACAAAACAGCTTCATTGGAAATTATAAGTCACAAGGAGTGGATGCATTTGCGCTAGCCTCTGAGAACGATTTTGAGCCATGTCACCAATTGTTTCCAACCATTGGTTTTTACCGTCCCGAGGACCCCAACCAGTCAGGAAGTCTACACCTTCCCACGTGGCTTAGACTAACTGTTGTAGATTTCATTGACTGGTGCCATGTTTTCGTTTGACCGCCGCTAGCTCTTTTCCAGCCTGGCCCTATATCGGCTAACATTGCCCATTGTCGAGGAAGGCGATGACTAGGCATAGGTAACACATCTCCTAACCATCTCAGTTGATGTAATTTCACAGTCTCGTCGACTGATTTCCCCTCCTTACCTAGCACTCGATCGATGCCTAACCTCAATATTGCTCACCTTGTTATACCACTTCACACGGGAGATAGAACGCAGGCACCTATGATCAAAGACAGCTAATCTTTTCAAGTTTTCCACTCTCAATGGCCAGGTCTCACAGCCATAAAGGAGGACGGAGTGGACTGATGAGCAGTACACCCACCCTTTGGTTGATAGTCGGATATCACGTCTACGCCAGAGACGGCATAAACTGGCATGTGTGAAACTAGCCCTCTGTGTCCGTGCTGAGATTTCGTCATAGATCAACCCTCTGGTGTTGGCTGATGGTAATTCCCAAATAAGTGAAGCGGTCAACGTGCTCTACCACTTCACTTCCTATTTCTAATCTAGGAGTCGGTGTAGTCCAATCCTGTAACATCATCTTGCATTTGGCCGGAGCGAATTGCATACCAAACATTCGTAGATTGCAGCTCAAGGTGTTCAGAAGCCTCTGCATTTTGTCAGCGTCCTCGCCTAGAAGGACTATATCGTCTGCATATTCTAAGTCGACGAGATTATTCCCTGGTAGCAAGTCGATCCCTGAGTATCTGAAGTGAGTTAGGGTTAAGTCCATTATTACATTTATGATGAAATTGAATAGGAATGTTGATAATGGGCATCCCTGACGGATACCACTAGTCGTCACCACTTCGGATGACAACTCGCCGTAAGCCCTCACCTGGCTGCATGAGTTCGAGTAGATTGCCTTGATCAGTGCAATGTATTTTCTCGGCATTCCTTTTACAGCCAAGCATCGCCAGAGTACCTCTCGGTCAACAGAATCGAATGTCGCCTTTAGGTCAAGAAATATAATGATTGTCGGACGCCGGTAGGAATGCCTATGTTCTAGAATCTGTCGAAGGGTGAAGATATGATCAATACACCCTCTCAAGGTAGCAGCTATCGGTCGGGTAATCCCCATCCAGGCAATAATGAAAACAAAACACGTAGTTCAGCGAAGAGTCTCTTTTCGACGGCGAATTCATTTTTATAGCTGTACAATGCCAAATATATATATATGAGTTGTTTCGTATGGATGTGTACATTAAGTTTGTCAAACAAAAATACAATTGGTTATGGTTATTTTAACTAAAGGGGGGTGAGAATTATTACTTTTAGGTGGGGTTACGTAATACAGAACGGCCAGAAAATTTGGGTGTTAATGAAACTAGGGTGGTAACAAAGGCGATGAGTTGTCACAAGCAGTTGTTAAAAAGGATTTAAGTAATAATAGGAATAGTTTGATGATTGAGTATTACTCAGGATACACACAAGAACAGAGTAGAGAATACGAAATTACGTAAGAGTTCTAAATGAATACAAGAATTATAAGCAATTGGGGAAACCAGCAAACAAACAAAATTAAGTCATCGAAAGTCAACAAAGTTGTTACCATGATGGTAGAAGTGGTTGAGTAATTCTCCTTTGTATGCACAACTCCGGTTTTTTTATGTGAATGGCCAGAGCTTCAGCGATACAATGAAGACGAAACTGTATTGCTGTTGGTAGGTTATTCTTGACTCTGTAGATTACTTTGAAGCAGGAGGCGTTTGTTGAGATGGAATGATCAGTGTTAACCAGGTGTAACTATGTAATTTCGTATTCTCTACTCTGTTCTTATGTGTATCCTGAGTAAAACTCAATCATCACACTATTCATGATATTACATAACTCCCTTTTAACAACTGTTTGTGACAGCTCATCACCTTTGTTACTCCTACCCTAATTTCATTAACACCTAATTTTCTTGACTGATTTTGTATTAGGTAACTCCAATTACCAATCTTCACCTGTTTAGTTGAAATAACCATAACCAATTGTATTTTTGCTTGATATACTTAATGTACACATACATATAAAGTAACACAAATATATATTTTCGATTGTACAGCTAAGAAAATGAATTCGCCGTCGAAAAGAGACTCTTCGCTGAACTACGTGTTTTATTTTCACGAATGATATTCACTAGTGGTTGTGCCATATCGTGAATTGGTAGAAGTTGGAATTCATGGGATGGACATTGGATAGGGTTGCAGTGGCTGCTTAATGGTCTACGATGTCGCCTTTTGACCAGAAGGTCGTGGGTTCAAACTCCGGGCGAGTTCCAAACTAAGGCGAAACAGCTTTCCAGTACTCCCTGCAGGTTTTCCAATGATTCTCTCTAACCGATGTCAGTTCATGATGAAATCCTGAAACCAATCAAATCCATGCAAACCAACAGTCGAAAATCATAATTTGACAAAGAATTTATAAGGTCAATCATATAGTGGTAAAATTATGTCCTCGAAAATAGATTACATAATGTAAGGTGTAGAGTCTAGAAAGGGATGACTAATTTGCTCCACATGAACAAGTATGTGACGTCAAGTTAGCCAACGTATTCTGGAACGCTGTACAGGCTGGCTAGCCAGCGGAGAAAAGAAGAATACCAACAGCCTTAACCTCAAACACCTTGTCAAATCTGAGCATCGAACACCCTCATATGAATGCATCACAGTGATACAGAGAGTTCCGAAATATAGCATGAAAACAATTTGAATACGCCATCTATACATAGCTGAATCATTGGCTATCCGAAATCTGAAACCGGATCTCTGTGCGTTCAAAAGCACTACATACATTCACTCATTCACCCTACCGTGACCGGAGTAACATTATTACTTCACTTGATTTCATTATGTAAGTTCAGTATTATCATTATTATTCTCATCATCCACATTTTATTACTACTCTATTACTGTTTATTAATAGCATTGCATTTTCATGCAGATTTAATATAAAAACACTTTATCGTCTTTCCACTAGTTCCTGTCCATTCTACACAATTATATTGATTAGTCAGTCATTTTCTCACGCTTAATACGTCATCCCGACTTCTACTCCGTTTTTCTAATCTCCAAATAGTCATCCCCTTCTGGATTACACCTTACATTACGTAATACATTTTTCGAGGACAAATTTCGCCAGTTTCTTAATATAAGTATAAAACTTGGGCACTGTGGTAGAGTATAACTGCTTTATGGATAAGATTTTATTTTGATAAATCACACAGTGTTCGTTATACAGTAATATTAACTGATGACGTTTCGAGCACAAATTACTGCTCATAATCATATCAAGGTAACCACACGACTTCTTAAATTCATTTATATAGTTCCGTTGTTTTTCACTTGATTTGATTGGTAATAAAATTTTCCATATTTCGGGTATGAGTGATGAATCATTCCGATTGCACGTCGTGTTGGGTGTAGATTTGATGAACAAGGATTCAGTAATCAACCTCTCTCTCCACCTACCTAGATTACTTTTTAGAATTTTAACCCTCTCCCACCCTATTGTGTGGTTGTGTGTTAATGCATGCATTGCAATCGCTGAGCTTTTTCCTAAATTACTTATCTTCTCGGGGTCAACCATTCTTGCCTTAGCTAAATTCTTATGTTCTGGCAATCAGACTACCCCCAATCTACTAGTGTGACCTATGCAGTTGACCTAGCTAACAGTCATTGCAGGGTATTTTGTAAATTATATTATTTTGTTTAATTGGGTCCACCGGGTCTTTTAGTCTACACATCTTGTCCTACCTGAGTGAGTTTGTAGGTTTGAATGCCACCCTAATTCCTGATTTATTAAGAATCCTACGTAGGGAGGATTTCAGATGTCCCCTCCTTATATGGTATAACAGTAGATGACTTATATTCTCTCTTATTTATGTTATCACTACTAGTTTCACAATTATTTTTATTTTGCTTTTGGCCTTTTTCGATCTTCCTAATGAATTTTATAGGATAATTATTCAACACCAACGCCTCTTTTATCTGTTTTATTTCATCATTTAGGTTTTTCTTGTGCTACTTAGTGCTATTGCTCGGTTTGTTAGACACTTAACTGAGCCCGCCTTTACATACAGACAACGGATGAGATGAATTAAAGTCAAAATATCTATTGGCAGAATGCGTTGGGTTTTTGTCGCCAGTATCTGATTCGTCTTTTGAATTCTTTATTAGTTATAAGCACGATTGATTGTACTGTTTATGAAAATGAATCATCAAAAAGGAAATTTCCTTCGGTATTTACATCTTTTTATGACATGCATATTATTATTACAATTATTATAGCGGTAAGGACGTTCGCCGACCATGCACATGGTCCGGGGTTCGACCCCCGGCCGACGCACTCCATTGCCTCTCTGAGCCAGAAATAATGCTGGTAAAGAGGAAAGGTTGGGCATGAGACTAGCAACCCCATCCTGTA